AAAAAAGATAAAAAGAAGATAATTTTTTACATGTATAGAATTTCTCCTACAATGTAGTAAAAGTAGATTATAGATTATTATTTCATTGAAGCCCATATTTATAATAGTAACATTAATATTAATTGAATTTTTTACCTGAAAATTTGTGAGTTTAAGTAATTGTCATATATATAATACTGAAACAACTATTCGTATATGTATTACAATACGCTAGTTTAAATTTTGATTTGATACATCCATTTTTAAAATATTTATTCTAGTCCTTAAACTTTGAAAATTAACCATTTCGACCAAGAAAGTCGGAAAGAATTTGAGAGGCCTTTCAAGTGTCCAAAAGGCCAATGAATCCCTTCCAAAGATTTGGCTCTATATAGATTTGGGATTTGGTGTATGGAACAATTTGGCATTTAATTGGATCCCAATTTATATGGTGTGTATTGGTCGGTTCTTGTGGCCTAATCTAATATCCTCACCAATATCCTCCACACGTATATGATATATTATTTTATCCTTTCTTGCCAAAAGAGAAAAAAAAAATGTATTTTTTATCTTATTTTTAAGATCCTAACCTCTCAATTTAGTTTATTTTGATTTCTTAAATTTCTAAATCCCCGTGTTTTAAGGTATTTTTTGTTAGTGATTTGAAAAAGAAAATTTTGATCAAAACAAGAGATTTAGATTTCAAATATGTATTTGATAACAAATTTGGAAATTGAATTACAATTTAAAAAATTGTTTAGAGATTCAAGTTCAAATCAGCTTAATACCAAAAACTCTTAATATCTTCAAGGTTCAAGTCTTGGAATGGACACTTGTGTCCCTTGGTATAGAGGAGCAAAACTAGGCCGGCCAGTTATAAAAAAAATATTGAAAAATTGTTTAATACATATTTAGTAATATATTTGTGAACGAATGATAGTTACTAACTAAATATTTAATTGAATCTAAAATAATATTTATTAAGTTATTAACATTTTTATTATAAATTTTGTATAATTATTATTTTACACTATTATATAACTTATAATATATTATATTTGACCAATTTTGATTTTAACAAAAATTAAATGAGTTTATAACGAGATAATATATTTATTAAAGTTTTTATTTATTTTTAAATAATTATGCATTCGAAATAAAGAAATGTTATTTTTAGAATTTACGAATCACATAGTTCGAAAAGAATTTTACGAAACAAATCTGTCCCACGCATATTTACTAAATCTGAAAATTAAATAAATAAATAGAATTTGGATTGCCAATCAAACAAACTATTAATTTTGTTGATTTTGTTTTTCTTAAGAAAATTGTTTTAATCTTTATTTCTCAAGATTTATTAACCACTTGTTAAAATTTCTAATCTCGTTTTATATATAAGTAGGTTGTGGATTCGAAGTCACAACTGCATGGCCAGAGATACCGCTGAACTAAGTTCCTTATATAATAAATAAACAAAAGGCATACCTTTATAATTTTTTTATTTTGATTAAATAATTTTGTACAAGAATTAATATCGATAACTAAAATATTATTGCCAACATGAAGAGGAATCCTCCCTTCCCACTTTTTGTATCTAAAAGAATGACTAAAATGGTGTCTTAGGCCAGTTCTCTCCCAATATGACTAGTAACCTGAGCTCAAAACAATTATTTTTCTTAATGCATAACAAAATTGTCTTTTATCCTTTTTTTTCCAAGTTCAATGTTAAAAAAGAAAAATAGTTTTAAGAACACATGATTTATTTTTTAAATTGGATTAAATTTAAGTTTTTTAAAACAGTAACTTTTAAAACATAATGTATTATGGTTATACGTTAAAATTATATCACACATATTACATGTAAAAATTTTATAAGTACCTTTGAAAAAAAAATTATAAGTAAATTGTCTTTCTGTTTTAGGTACAACAATGCGAGGGGAAGGATTAAAAATATGTTTTTTTTCTATTTTTATGGATTGACGTGCTAATTAATATATTTAGAAAATTATTTATCTGGATTATAGTAAATATAATTCAATTTTTTTAACAATATAATATTAAACGTAAACAATGAGAATATTTTAAAATATTTATATTAAATATAACCAATTATGGGAAAGCATCAGACTGTCCCATAACTGCCAAAAGTTCCTGCGAAATGGGACATGCAGCTGAACTGAACTGAACATGGATCGTCCCATTAAAATATGAATTTTTTCCTTCTCCACATAGATATAATATATATATATATATATATATATATTTATTCCACAATATATGAAAAAAAAGTGTATCTACTCTAGGGTGAAAAAACGTGATATATGGTCTCCTCGAATTTGGTTCGAGATATGAAGTTTGGTGGAATAAATTCGAGATAAATAGATCATTTTTAAAATAGGTTAAAAAGCATATTTGGTCTTGTATTTTTGCTAAAATAATGATTTAGTCTATAGTTTAACCATATACTTTAAATGGGTAATCATTTAGTTCATAAATTTTAATATATAACAATTTAGTTTATATCTTTAAAAATCTCATCAAAATTAAGTAAATTAAGTGTTGATTTTTATCGTAAAATGAATTAATCTTTATAATTTATAACATATTTAGTCCCTCGTCAATTTATTAATTTACATATATAACTTAACAAAAATATTTATAATAGATACTAAATTGTTACCAGCTTTAAACTATAAATATTATATTGTTATATACTAAAGTTCAGCGATAAAATTATTACAAATTTGGAAGCATAGTTACTAAATCGTTAACAAAAATTTAGGGACTAAATTCTTAGTTCTTTAAAATAAAAAGCACTTTTCTATAAATATTTTTAATATAGTTGTACTAATTAATAAGTGCTTTAATAATGATTTTTTAATATGTTAAAACATTTCTTTTATAAAATCTTTCTTGAAAAATAACTAATAAAATTTTGCGCTTAATGTATTTTAACTGCTTTTTTTCTCTGTCTTCTTTTTTAAATCACTTCAAATATCATGTATATTTACTAAGTTTTATGCAAATATTAATGAGAAAATTGATGTCGACAAAAATTTGTTAATGAAAATTAGGAAACAATAAACTTATAAAAATAATTTTAAAATAAGCCATAAATCTTATGGTTAGTTTTTTATGTTTCTTCAATTGATATTATTGTTAATATTTTCATATTTTATCAATACTTTGTAATTTATTTTGAAAATATTGTTTAACTCCTAATATTAACAATTTAACATCGACCTTTTCAAGTCAATTCAAACATAACTGGTAGATAAAATACACGATCCCAAAGTATTTTAACCCTTACCATGATTGAATTAAAAAAAAATAATGATGATTTTGATACTAAATTGATGGCTTATAATGGCGTGTTTTGAAGTACGAATATATATAATGCTTATATTTTAATTTAGTCAATAAATTTATTTTATTTTGATCTATAAAATTTCGGTGTTGTATCACCTACCAACTTTCAAATGTTTTATTTTATTTTTCTAACTTTTGCAAAAAAAAATATTTTTAGTATTTACTGTTAATATTCATTTCTTTAATAACAGAAACAAAACCGACAAAGTATTTAACATTTCCACGTAATTGGCAATTGACATATATTTTAAACCAAGAGGGTGTAAGTTCAATTCAAGAAAAAAAGAACTCTGAGTTAAAATCCTCAACTTCCTCCAAGTCCAGAATCGTCTCCGCAGTGTGGGCTCTTCGATTGGTTCCTCTCCGACAATAGCGAAAGATCACCTTTTGCATATGTCTCAACAAATGTTGGATCTCTTCACAAATCAAACCCACTTATGATCTATTACTTAGTTAGAATGCATTATCAAACGTAAAAACAGTGTAAATATTTTATGATCAAGTATAAACAAATTACTAAAAATGTATTTATGTTTCTAACATGAGTATAGCTTAACGATAATTGACACATACTCTTTCCCTTGAGACAAATCCCCCATACCCTCAATCTGTTGTACTAAAAATTTATTAAAAGAGGTTAACAATAAAAATTAAAATAATTGTTACGTAGTGTTAAAAAGAAAAAAAATTAAGCCTTGTCTAATAACAAAGTTTTTAAAATTAAGTTTATAAATGTTATTTACTGTTGGGGTTGCAAACGTTGGCTAAAAAATAAAGTGATTCATAGTATATAGACTTGATATGCAGCTTTTTGAGTGAAACCAAAAGCGAGGATTATGTCCAAAGTGGACAATACGTGAATATACTTGGGGTATTACCCATGTTTGTTGTCTTTAACATTGTATTTTTTGTTTTGTTATCTACTTTTGAAAATTTGTTGAAATTTGACTAAGAATTCGAATGTATTTGTAAGCAAGGTGATAAAAGAAATTGTGATTGTTGGTTTTTTAAGGTGTGAAAGAAAGTGAAACTTAAAAGAAATTATTCACATATACATTGTGAATTTTATTCTTATTTATTATTATAGTGGTTTTGTTTCTTTATTTTATTAAATTTTAAGTTATCTTATTATTTTGTTAAAGTTACAAATATACGTGTTAAAGTGACATATGTAACATATGTAAAAATGTTACATATGTGTTTAATTTTGAGTGAGAGGTTACTTGTTTTTACAACTATATATAGTTGTGGATTTCTTCATTTTGAGATATCCAAGCAATTCTCATTTGAATTCATCCTCCTCTCACAAGAGTTCTCTCTTCTTTTGACTTCTTTTTCTTGTTTATGTTGAGAGCAAGTATCTAAGAATTCTACCACATCCGAGTAGTTTGAGGTTGTTGTTCTATCGGAGTTAGCTGTTGTATCCTGCTGAGACGATTGTCGTAGTCTGCTAGCAACTTGTGCAAAGCGAATAATTGTCTTCAGGTCAACGCTATTGAAGCGTGCCTCGACTATTTTTTATCAAGTTTTGGTGTTCATCAAGTCGTCAAGATCTATAATTGTTTATAGCCAGTTACGTTGTAAATTTTTGCTAGTGTTATTCAGTTTACATATACAGCATATATTTACCCAACAATCTGAAGATAATTACCATGGCTGCAAACACTTCCACCAATGCTCCTGCAATGATGGGATCGACCATTTTCAAATCTCATGCTGAGAAACCAGAGAAGTTCAAGGGAGAAAACTTCAAAAGATGGCAACAGAAGATGGTCTTCTACCATACCACCCTAAATCTTGCTCACATTATAAAAGAGATATGTCCAACTACTACCCTAGAAGCAATCACTCCTGAAACTGAAGCTGCCAAGCAAGCGTGGTTACATTCAGACTTCTTATGTTGCAACTACATTCTGAGTTGCATAGATGACACCTTGTATAATGTCTACTGCAATGCCTTTGATACTTCAAGGCAGTTGTGGGAGGCATTAGACAAGAAGTATAAGCTAGAAGATGCTGGTACTAAGAAATTCCTTGTTGGAAAGTTCTTAGATTATAAAATGGTTGATACCAAGTTGGTTGTCAATCATTTGGAAGAATTGCAAATTATCATTAGTGATTTGCAAAGTGAAGGATTGGTCATTAATGAACCATTCCAAGTTACTGTTGTGATTGAGAAATTGTATCCTGCTTGGAGAGAATTCAAATGTTATCTCAAACACAAACAAAAGGAGTTGTCCATAGAGAATCTTACTGTGAAACTTCGCATTAAAGAGAACAACACAAAGGGGGATAAAGAGCCACAAAAATTTGAAGCTAAAGCACATATTGCTGAAGCTTCAAGGCGTCATCCCAAGAAGAACCAATCAAAGACAAAGAATCTTGGGCCAAGGAATGACACTAACAAGCACATTCCTGCAATCTGCTAGGTTTGTGGCAGGAGTGGCCATATAGCTGCAAACGGTAGACACAAGAAGGGACAAAGCTCCAACAACCAGGCCAACACTATGGAAGATGAAAATTTAATTGTTGTCATCCCGGAGGTAAATATGGCCTCTGACACCAAAGGTTGGTGTATTGATACTGGTGCTACTAGGCACGTCTATGGGGACAAATTACTGTTCATCACTTATGAGAAGCTAGATGACAGTGATAAACTGTACATTGGAAACGCTTCAACAGCCTCAGTGGAAGGCGGAGGAAAAGTCTTGCTGAAATGGACTTCTAGAAAGATACTTACCCTCACTGATGTTGGTTTTTTAAGGTGTGAAAGAAAGTGAAACTTAAAAGAAATTATTCACATATACGTTGTGAATATTATTCTTATTTATTATTATAGCGGTTTTGTTTCTTTATTTTATTAAATTTTAAGTTATCTTATTATTTTGTTAAAGTTACAAATATATGTGCTAAAGTTACATAGTAACATATGTAAAAATGTTACATATGTGTTTAATTTTGAGTGAGAGGTTACTTGTTTGTACAACTGTATATAGTTGTGGATTTCTTCATTTTGAGATATCCAAGTAATTCTCATTTGAGTTCCTCCTCCTCTCACAAGAGTTATCTCTTCTTTTGAGTTCTTCTTCTTGTTTATATTGAGAGCAAGTATCTAAGAGTTCTACCAGATCCAGCTAGTTTGAGGTTGTTGTTCTACCGGAGTTAGTTGTATTCTGCTGAGACGATCGCTGTAGTCTGCTAGTAACTTGTGCAGAGCGAATAATTGTTTTCAGGTCAGCGTTATTGAAGCGTGTCTCGACTATTTTTATCAAGTTTTGGTGTTCATCAAGTTGTCAAGATCTATAATTATTTATAGCCAGTTATGTTGTAAATTGTTGCTAGTGTTATTCAGTTTACATATACAGCATATATTTACCCAACAGTGATAAGTCAAGCATAATTTTAACGGCATAGTTCGCTTCCCAAAACTACCCTATAAAAAGGTGGTCGAGTCTCTCAATCTCAAAGGTACGCAATTTTTATGCAAGCTAACTAAACTCAGCTCAACACTAGCTTCGATTTAAGTTATAACTTAAGCTTTGAAGTTTATATGGTCAAGCATCATATACTAGTAAAGATTATGTGTGCAATTCTCGACTTGGGTACCGAACGTTCACTTCCGATACAAAGTTGACGTATCACCTCGTCCAAAATGTTGTATCAATAAATAAGTGTAATTATTCATAGGTAGATGGAATTTGAATCAAATATATGATAATGGGTTCAATTATTCACTAACCACTGCCACTTATAAAAAAAATTCTACAAGTTTCTCATTGCTCTGCCACCCTAGCTTGTTGTCATACTTAATTTAAAAAGTAGAGAAATTTAAAGCCCATAAAATTCATATTTTCTCCTTTATGAAAATAAAAAGTATCTTTATTTTTCTAAAAAAAAAGTATCTTTATTAAACAATACATTGGACAGAGAGATTAAAAAGAGAGGAATATTCGCGTGCTAAAATAAAATATATATTTTATGTCGTGGTTTGTTTGAAATTTTCTTGCAAATAAGATAAAAATCTGTCCATGGCATCATTAGCTTCTCTTCTTTGATCAATGAATTGAATAAATTTAATTTATAATTAAATGACACACTTTAGATTTATAAAATAATGGAAAAGTTGTGCAAGTAGTTATAAGTGTATAAAAAATGTCAACAAAATAGTTGAAATAGATAAAAATTTACATTTTTTTAATTTTTAAACTTTATTATTATTATTATTATTTTAACTCTCTTCCAACGAGTTGGTCAAATATTGTATATCCCTTTAAATATTACAAATGGGATGAAAAATACGTAATCCATGATTGTGCATATAAACATTAATATTCTATCTAGTAAGATAAGAGTCATATAATGCAATCAAACTAAGCTAGAAACTTTATTTTTCTTGCTTAATTTTTTTTTCTTCTCTTCTAAATTTCGATCGATTCGTTAAATATCATGAGAAGTTTATCGTCAACTAATTTTAACAATTTGAATAGTAAAAAGCTAAATTGAAAAATGTTTAAACACAAGGATATAAATCAAAACTGTGTGAACAAATTGAAAAAAAAACCTATTAGAAAGTATCAAGCGGAAGTACTTACTCGTGAGTACCATCTCTTGCTAACCACCTTTCAAATTTTGACAAATATGAGAATAATATAGAAAAAAAAACAAAGAAGATATCAAGACAAAGCTCTTAGTCATGAAGACTCAGTCTATTTATGTAAGCTTTTAAAGACTCTTTATGACTCTCGCACTATCCCACTTGATTTTTTTTTCATCGAGATGCTATTTTTTTCTAATTTTTGAAAAATAAAAGATGTCAAATTCATAAAGATGAGTGTAGACCATGAGTTAAATATTGTAAATGTGTAGAGCAAGTGTAGTGTGGTGTAGTAGTAGGCTCTTCTAGGTCCCTTCTCGATCTTGATTGAAGGATCACTCCAGTGCTTATTAGAGATCCTACGTGACTGCCTCTGCACTCTCCTTCAACCGATTCTGATACCAATCGGATCTCGAACCTAGCACACTACAGAATCCTCTTTCATTATTTGGTACTTGATTTACTAAACTAAACTAACAAGRGCTTGGGCTTGTTGCTTGATAGCGACTTATTTGGGATGACGAAATCACAAGATAATGGATCCGAATGAGCAGAAAAACTAACGGTGATAAAGGCATCTGACACATGAGAAAAGGAATGGGAGTTTCCACAGCAGAAAGCAGCCAAGTCGTTGGAGTGTCTGCAGAAGCGAATCGCCAACTATAAACATCAACAACAACAACAGCAAAATCTGGACCAACGAAGCACAAACACTACAACTACAACTACAACTACAACGCACTACTAAGAGGTGAGGCGCGGGTGGCTCCCAACATTTCTCCACTCTCCTTATCCTTCTCTTCTCTTCTCACATCCATAATTTCCCACTTCCCGATCCTCCTCCCATGGCTCTGCAATCCGTTCCCTCCTCCATTTCCCACCTCCGCACCTCTACTCCCTCCCTCTCTGCTCATTCTCTCCTTCTATCGCCTAATAATGCTCTTTCGCTCGTCGATTTCGTTGCTCTGTATGGGAAGCCCAAGAGGACTAGGCGGAAATCTGTGTCCTATTCCTCCTATTCCTTGTCCGCCGCCGGCTGCCGGAGTTTCCGCCAGTTGGGTGCTAAGAACTCTTCGCCCTCGATCAAGGCTGTTCTTGATCTTCGACATGGTGGGTGTGCTGTGGATAAGTCTGATGCTCCTTCCGGACCCGAGCCCGAGGTATGCCAACTGGGTTCTGATTCTGAGTCTGATTCTGATTCTGATTCGGGTTTCGTTTTTGCAATGAATCACGTGAAGTAAGAGAAGTTTGAAGTGTCTTTACGGGAAGCTTTATCTTGTCTGTAAATCGTTATTACTTTTATTATTTTTTTTTGCTTTGAAGCACATTTCATACCACACTTGAGGTTGAATTCTCTGTAGTTATCCTCCATCTTACATTCGATTTTAAATTTGGGAGTTCGAAATAATTGGTCATATTATATGATTCCCTGTACATAGCTAAGGAGTTCGAAATAATAAACATTTGCGAATCATATTTTATTTTACCATAAAGAATGGCGACGACACAATGGGGAAAATGATCAATGCATTTATGTTGTGTATGTGTTGGGTGGGGGGAGGTGGTCTTGGACTCTTGGGATATAAAGTAGCAACTATCATCCTATAGTTAGTTATACTTCTCCACTGTATGATGATTGATGCGTGTCTCCTTTCCCCATGAAAAAGAAGAGAAAAATTGGTCATTCCATTAATGGATATTTGAGCTGAGGAACGGCATTGAACATCTAACCCTTTTTCTCAATGTTGTTACTGGGAACCGTAGCCTGTTTAAGTATTTTGGAGTAACCAAATTTTAAAGTTTTTGTTCCATGAGGATTTCTGTGAAATAGTGATTGAGAATCCTACAATGGCCTCCATGCTTGACTAGAATGGTATTTGGATAAAGAGGCCCCTCAAGGAAAAAAGAGAATAGATAACACGTGTATCATATGTGATGGTATAAAATTTTGTTGTAGAGTTTGAGAATCATGTGGTCATTGCTAATGAAGTTTATATTTATCTCTCTTATTTTAATCAAAAAACTAGCTCTCATTGAGAAAATAAAAGAGCACAAAAGTGACAACCAAAACAACAACTCAATAGAGGAGGCATCCAAAAACTAAACTAGCTATACAAAAAAGGGCTTAAATCTAAAAGAACAAGGTCTAGAGGATAGTTATAAAATTCCTTGAAAACAGAAGGCAAAGGAAAGCATTTAATCTAACACAAGATTAGATCTCTTCCTAAAGGCCACTCAACACCATTAAAAATTCTCCTATTTCTCTCAAATCAAATCTCCCACAAAACGATAAAGAGTGCAATGCACTAGAGTACCTAATCCTTGTCACAAAATGGGGGATGGAAGAGCACTTCCTCCATCATAAAACAACTATCTCTTGTTTAGAGCCTAATCAATGCCAAAAGATTCCAAACCAGTCCCATACTGAGTTAGCAACCGACAACTTCATAGGACATGGTCAAAGTTGTCTAAATGCTCCTTGCAAAGAATGGACCACCGCAGCCCCAACAACGAGGAATGTCTAAGCATTTGTTCCACAATGTTCATCCTCCATGCATAGCTTGTCAAGCAAAGAACTCAACCTTATATTTATCTTCTCGAAAGTGGATTTCCAGCCAGTTTAACTCTCAACGTCCAGAAGTTTTGTGGGAGGTAGATTTCTTTTAGCAATTATTGTAATGGTAGGAAGATTTTGGTCGGTAGCCTACAGGAAGATTAATACTAATGAAAGGGTGTGAAAAAGGTGTCCCTGCAATGAGCAATGTATTTCTTCTGAGAAAGTGCAGGATTTTATTTTATTATTGTTTTTTGTGTGATAAGAAACAAACACTTCTC